GAGGAGGTAAGTGGTCATGGTCACAGGGCGGGGCCAGCACAGGCAGGAGGTGGGGTTCACTATATGGATGTTCTTCCCACAGCGCAGTGCCCAGAGGGAGGAACCCACAGCCAGGGAGCGGCCAGGGTGAGTCGGATCTCCTGGCTGGGGTTCTGCAGCTGGAGCCAGAGTCTGGGGAACATGGCCATGGGGGCAGGGGCAGGTGTGGAGCCAACACCCCTTCTCCAGCCATGGTTCTTTGTCATTCCTCAATCACTTCTGCACCCCTTCTTTTTCCTGAGAACTGTCCCCATTTCACAGATGGGAAAACTGAGACCTAGAGAAGGTCCCACAGCCAAGAAATGGCAGAGCTGGAAGGGGTGCCCTGACGCCAGACCCAGACAAAGGGCTACTGTATTAAGTTGGGGGGGTACCCCTCTCCAGCAGGGGATTAGTGGCCTTTCTTCCTTTTTTCACATCTTAAGTGACCCAGAATGAAGGTTGGGTGGGGGGTGATCAACGACAGGCTGACTGAAGCCAAAGCAAGTGGGAGTGGGAATAATCCCTAAGACTCACTTCTAGATTTTTCAGGTAAATTTCTCCAAAGCAGGCACTGGCATCCTGGCTCTGGAGAGCGCACTGAGGCCTGGGAGCCCTGGGTCCTGGGTCCTGGCTCCGGCTCTGCTGGCATCTTTCTGGTTGCAGACTGCCAGGCTGCATCCTTATGTCAGCTACTACCCCCAAAATAGGTGGCACCTAGAGGGAGGGGTTTCTGATCCCCTGGGTGGTCTCTGGAGGGGTAGGGACAAGCCCCAGGCTCCTTGTGGCCTGGGCCGAGGGGTGAGCATCTACTGGGAGCGCAGGGCTTTCAGCTGGGGAAGGTGGCCTGAGAGCTGCGCTGCCCGCAGGGAGAAGACTGATGTCCTGAGCAGCGAGGATGACGCCCGAGACAGCCCTGTGATCTTAGAGGCCCCCTCCCCGCCACCCTTGCCTCCAGCCTACACTCCTACCTACAAGAAGTCTCTCCGCCTTTCCTCTCATCAGATCGTAAGTGTGTGCAGGAGCTCAGAGAATTCTGTCGCAGAGGCCCTCGGGGCCTGGCTTTATAGAGCCATGCATTCACCAAAGCCCAGAATCCATCCCCTTGGCAGTCCCTGTGATGACTTCTGCATGAATACCTCTGGGGGCAGGGGGCTCACTTCTTTTTTTTTTTTTAAAGATTTTTTTTTTTTCCTTTTTCTCCCCAAAGCCCCCCAGTACACAGTTGTATATTCTTCGTTGTGGGTCTTTCTAGTTGTGGCATGTGGGACGCTACCTCAGCGTGGTCTGATGAGCAGTGCCATGTCCGACCCAGGATTCGAACCAACGAAACACTGGGCCGCCTGCAGCGGAGCGCACGAACTTAACCACTCGGCCACAGGGCCAGCCCCGGGGGCTCACTTCTTTACATGCCAGCTCATTTTTCTGTCGGATGCTCACTGGAAAAGCCCTCTCTTATGTAGTCCTAAAATATCTGCCTGTAGTCGGTCCGCTGGCTCCGAGTCTGCCTCTGGAAGCTACACTAAAGGACTCAAATGCTGATGACAGACCCCAGGCCCCCTGAGTCAGATCTTTGAGCTAGTAACCAGTGGCTCCTGTAATAAGAATGTTTCCTTCCTGAGTGTGGCTCAGTGGTCAGGGAGGTGTCCAGGAGAGTCTGGCTGGCCTGGTACAGAGCAGCTGCCATCTGTGTGGTACCCAGGGGCTCACACTCAACGTGGGGTCAGCCAGGGCCTGATAGCCTTGGCCACTGGCTGTGGCTGAGAGCTGCCCTGGTCCTTCTCTATGGACCAAGGACAGGACTAGTTCTCTCTTTGAGGGGATGTCACAGGTACCCTAGCCCCAGGCAGTGAAGATCCCCACAGGGCCCCTTCTATGGAGTGGGCTGTCTCCCTGCCAAGAGCAGTGCCAGCCTTGGGGCTGACCTGAGAAATCTGGGCGAGGGCAGGGGCCAGGCTTTGTCTGTCAGCTTCATCCCGAAGGGGCACGAAGGGAGGTCAGGGCTCCTGTGCAGGCTACCCCAGCACCCCCTCACTTCCTCCTCGAGGGTGCCCTCTGCCCACGTGGATGTGTCTACGCATGGCTGTCTCTGAATTCAGGCAGGTTCTCTGGGTTAGGAGGAAGAGGAGAATGAGAGGCTCGTGGGGATCAAAGGCCACACGTGAGGGGGGGCTGTGGATGGCACTTGGCTGTGGTAGACCGCAACTCCCCCACTTTGCTTGGTCCCAGCGTTGCCTGAACCTGCAAGAAGGAGCCAACGATGTGGTCTTCAGCGTGACCACCCAGTACCAGGGCACCTGCCGCTGCAAGGCCACCATCTACCTGTGGAGATGGGACGACAAGGTGGTCATCTCGGACATTGATGGCACCATTACCAAGTGAGGCCCGGTTGGCCAGGGGAGAGAGGAAGGGCCTGGGGCCCTACCTCCCTCTGTGCTGGGTCAGGGGACACGGAGAGAGGCCCTCCTCTCCCGGTGGGCCATACTGGGGCTGCGGGCTGGGCCTCATCAGGCCCCATGCATGGAGCATGAGGGCCATGTGGTGCTGCCTCGGAATGACCCCTTCCTCTGTGGCTCTAGGTCAGACGCTCTGGGCCACATTCTGCCCCAGCTGGGGAAAGACTGGACGCACCAGGGCATCACCAGTCTCTACCACAAAATCCACCTGTGAGTGCCTGGGCTGAGGCTGGGGCTGGGGTCCAGGGAGGGAGTGACAGGACATCTCAGGCCACCCTGGCCTCTGCCCTGGGAAGCCAGGCTTGGGAACCAGCAAGGCTCACAGGAAGAAGCCCAGGGCATGTCCCTTGAGTGCTGAGACCCACCTACTGGTCCTCAGTTCTCCCGTGAAAGACCTATCTCCTGTGGTCTGGGACCTGAGTCTAACTGCTGGCTGTCATGCTGTAGAGGAAGCCTAGAGACTTCAAATCCTCGTCCACCCTGGTCCATCTGGGCCTCAGGACACTGTCCCTGTTCCTTCTATCTGGAACAGCTGCTGAGGCCACCTCTCTCAGGCCTGGCCCAGCTGTTCTCCCTAAGTCTCCTCCCCGCAAAGGCCTCTGGGTCTGAAGGCCAGAGCCCCAGTGTTGGGCTGAGCTGGCTGAAGCCAAAAGGGCACGGGGGGGGGCTGGCTGAACTCTGATGGCTCTGTACCTTCCCTGTCCACCACCCCCAGAAATGGGTACAAGTTCCTGTACTGCTCAGCGAGGGCCATTGGCATGGCTGACCTCACCAAGGGGTACCTGCGGTGGGTGAGCGAGCGGGGCTGCGGCCTCCCCAAGGGCCCCATCCTGCTGTCTCCCAGCAGCCTCTTCTCCGCCCTCCACAGGTAACCACCCCATACATAGCATAAGTCCATGGCCCCTTGGGGGGAGCAACAGGCCCACTGGCAGCCCAAACTGGGCCAGCATCAGGCCTCACTCTGGTGTCAGCTGGGTCACACTCCATGTCACCCGACCCTGCTGTCCTCTGATTGCTAACCCTCCTCGGCTCCCTTCCCTGCCGAGGCCCTGGCTGCCCCAGGGAGGTGATTGAGAAGAAGCCAGAGGTGTTCAAGATCGCCTGCCTGAGTGACATTCGGCAGCTCTTTCTGCCCCACGGACAGCCCTTCTATGCCGCCTTTGGGAACAGGCCTAACGTGAGTGTGTCCCCTCCCTATGGGCTGAGCCACCTCCTCCCCACCTCCTAGCCCACTGGCCTCTCCTTGTCCCCCACAGGATGTCACTGCCTACCGGCAGGTGGGTCTACCTGAATCTCGCATCTTCACAGTCAACCCCCGGGGAGAGCTCATCCAGGAGCTCATAAAGAACCACAAGTCCACGTGAGGCCCAACCCTGCCATGTGTCCCCCACGCCCTGCCAAGTTCCCAGACCCCAGCCTCTCCCTGGGCCCCAATTACCTCCCCAGTGGGGACTCCGTCCCTTGCTCCAGGCTTCCCAGCAGGATGGGGAGTCTCCGCCTGCTGACAGCTCGGGCTCTCAGTGCCGGCCTGGTTCTGCCTGTAGGTACGAGCGGCTTGGGGAGGTGGTGGAGCTCCTCTTCCCGCCTGTGTCCCGGGGCCCCAGCGCAGACCTGGCCAACCCTGAATACAGCAACTTCTGCTACTGGCGGGAGCCACTGACCACGGTGGACCTCGATGCCCTGGCCTGAACCTGCCCTGGCTGCCCCCTCTCCCTGGCCTGGCCCAGAACTGACTGGGTGTCCCAGGGCATAGGGGGTTGGAAGCTGGGTGCCACAGGGCCAACTCACCGAAGGGGAAGAGGGGGCTGCAGGCTGGTTGGCAGCCACCGAGACCACCCCCCCAACCCTGCACCGTCCTATCTCCTGCCTCTGACAGCTGCTCCAGGCCTCAGCATGGCCCTGGCCTGTAGCAGTTAAATGATTGTCACCTGGGCCCTTGCAGGGTTCCCCATGCCCTTGATGTCTCTGTCCCTGTCACCTTGCCTCAACTCCTGATAGGACAGACAGAAGAGGGAGGCCCCACTGAGGCCTGAGGCCTGTGTGCACAGGGCGGCAGCAGTGGGGAGGGGTTTGGTAGCATCTGGGAACAAGATAATGCTCCCCACTCCCTTTGGGGAGTCTAGACTGTGCCCTCTGAAGCCAGACCCTTCCCTAGCTCTGGCCCCTCCCCATAGCTCTTGAGCTAGCCATCACTGCTCTCCGTCGCTGGTACCTCAGCACATCCCAACCCCACATATGCAGTGCTCCTCCGACATCTGGGGAGGGGGATTCTGGGGCAGCTCGAGGGCAGAGGGAGTGGCTCCCACTTGGCCTAGCCTGTGCCCAGCTGCTGGCCCTGTTCCCCTCATCACCAACCCTGCCAGGGTAGGGGGGGGTTGACACCCCTGCCTTTCCCTAGCCTTTGCCAGTCAATTCAATGCCCACACAGCTGCTGAGGGGCCTCCTGCCCAAGGAGCTGTGGAAAGCAGGGCTGACACCCCACGCAGCCCTCCCTCCCACTGTCTTTGGGGAAGAAAGTACCTTTAGACCGGCTAAAAGCTTTAATCCAGGCCTGCCCTCCCCCAACAGCACAACGGTGGAGGGCAGAACACTACACGTCGAGAAACCAGAAGGCAGGGTTACAGGGACCTGCAAAGAGCACAGGAGGGCCTGTGCTGCTGTGGGGAAACTGAGGCCAAGAGCCTCAGCAGAGATGACATCAGGGTTTCTGGGAACTGCATGGGCTGGATGAACACTTGTCCTTTCAGGTTGCCCCTTGGTGGCGTCATACCTGAATTTCTCACCACTTCATGAACATCCAGGCGGGACTGGGGTTTTACAAGGATGTTGGAAACTCAGCCTGGAGCCCTTTCTCTCCAGCTGTGGCCTCCTGCCCAGGGTCTGGCCTCATTCAGGCCATGACATACACGATGACTGCTCTCTGGAGAGAGGCCCTAACCTGTGGGGGTGGAGTTACCCCCAAATGGAAAGAAGAGGACTGTGTGGGGAGTACAGTGCCCTGACAACATCTTTGGGGAGGGAAGGAAAAGCATAAACTGGGGCAGGGTCTCCAAACAGATGGCCTGGACCCCATCCTTTCTTCTGGGTTCTAAAGCTGCCTAAGCCCTCACCCAAGGGGAGGATCAAAAGGAATAAAGAGCACTCTGAGCTGAGACCTTGTGTTTCTGTCTGTCCTGAAGGACCTGTGGGGCAATGGACACCTCTGGTCCTTGGTTCAGAAACAGTATCCATGAAGCTGCCAGGTGTGAGGACAGTGCCAGAGGGCAGCACCTTCCTGCAGAGACTGAGCCCAGATGGCTGGGGAGAGAAGTCGGGGACAACGGGACCAAAAGCCTCCCCAGGCCAGAGGCTATTGCCTGCAGGCGAAGGGAGCTGCGGGCAGACCACGGGCTAAGAATGGACCTGTAGGTCTTTGCACAGGTGCCAACTCTGGTGTATCTGCAGAAGAGCAATTTGCAGACTGGATTGAGGTTTCTTAGGTCCACCCTGGCCCTCAGACATGATGTACTTGCCCTGAGTGCTTTCCTGAATTGTCCAGTTGGTGCAGCACTGAGCATGGATATTGGTGCCTGGGACAGTCACATGGAGCTGAACCAAGACTATTCCTTCAAGGGCCTCTGAAGTGGCATCCATGCTGGCCAGGGGAGGCTTGGAGGCATCATCTGGGCTCTGGGGTGATGTCCCCAGGGTTGGTGGGATCTGGGGGTTGGGTCCTGTCCAGCCAGCCTAGTCAGCCTGCCCTGGCCGTGCCTGCTCAGCTAGCTGGGCCTGGCAGTCCAGTAGGTCATCTCGGAGGCGGGCGATGTCCTGTGCGTGCTGGGCCAGCGTACGATTCAGCTGGTCCACATGGCCCCACAGGCCCTCCTTGGGCCTAAGTGACTCAGTGGGCAAGCTGTCCAAGCCTACAACCAGCAGGCTCAGCTTCCCACACACACTCTCCACTTGGGCCACCCTCTGGTTGAAGTGGCCCACTGCATGCTGGAGTTCCTGGGCTGTGTCCTGGCAGCGGCTTAGCCCACCGGCCACATGGGCCACACCGGCCTTGAGTTGTTCCAGCTCCCCCCTCAGGCTCAGGACCTGCCTGTGGCCAGCCCGAAGCCGTGAGCCTTGGCTGCTGACCTGCTCCTGGATGGCGTGGACCTCGGCCTCCACCTTGCGTTCCCGCTCGTCCAGAGATGTGTTGGCAGCCATGAAAGCATCAGAGTACTGACTGACAGAGTCACTGAGGCCTGTGAGTGACTTGCTCACAGAATTCAGATTGACCTTAAGCAGGGTGATCTCACCTTGGAGTGAGCTGCCTGTTGCTTCTGCCAGCTGCCCCTGGACCTCGGCCACAGTGCCATTGAGCTGCTGGAGCAGGGCTGTGTGGCTGGCTACCTGGCGTAGGAGGGCCTCGCTCCGGCTCTGCCAGGCCTTCACCTCTGCCACGAGGTTGTCCAGGATGGCTGAGGTGGTGCTGGGGGTGCACGAGGTCTCCAGGGAAACCAGCCGTTGTTCCAGTACGGCCAGCTCTGTCTGCACCAGGGGTCGTGCCGACCTGCCTGGTGGGGTGCTGTCATGGCTTAGCTCCCCAGCCAGTGTCATCAGGCGCTCCTCCAGGCTCTGCACACGCTCTTCCAGCATGGTCCTGAAGCCACGCACACCCCATCCCCGCTCCTCCATTCCAAGACAGCAGCCCCTCACTCCACTCTCCGACCCATTGAGGGTCTCCAGGCCCTCAAGCAGCCCACCCACACCCCCCTCGAGCATGGCAGCAGAGAGCCGCGTGAGCTCATCCCTGGTGGGGGGGCCATGGCCCCTTTGGGTCTCTGTGATTGCCTGCAGGTTCCTCTCAAGGTTGTCCACACGGGCACTGATCAAGGCCAGCTGGCTGCAGCAGCTGCCCCCGCCAGCCACACTCAGACCCTGGAGCCGGGTACCCAGCTGGGAGAGTTCCTGGCGCAGAGCCAGCTCCCTGCCATCCAGGCTCTGGTGCAGCCTCCGGCTGGCCGCCTGGCCCTCCTCGCACTGCTGCCGGACCTCCTGTACCCGCAGGTCGCACGCACTCTGAACACCTTGTAGCTTCTGCTCGAAGCCGTCCAGCAGGCTCCCCCAGAGTCGGTGCAGCCGTCGGTCCACGTATTCGTCCAGCAGTGCCAGGGAGGTGAGTGGAGATGGGGGGGCCTCCCGCAGCCGCTGCAGGTGAGCCTCGTGGCCAAGGGCCAGCCCGTGCACCTCGTCCAGCAGCTGCACCTTGGTCCGGAGCGTGTTGCTCACCTCCGTCACCTTGCTCAAGATCTCGTCCAGGGGAGGTGTGAGTGGCCGTCCAGCTCTGTCTCTAGGGTTCACAAACCCCTCGGGGATGACCCCAAAGCCCACAGGGACAGCAGGAGCCCTGGGGTTACCAGTCATCCTGTTGCGGTCTTCATGGCTGGCCACCAGGCCGCTGAGGGTACCATACGCTTGTGCCAGGCGCTGGACATCACCCTCCAGGCGTTCCAGCCGCTCCCCAAACAGCCCGGGGCCTTTCCTTCCTGGGAATGAGGAGGCAAGAAGCCCGGGGTCATCACTGGCCTGGCTCTCAGCTTGTCCTGTTGCCAGGCCACCCAAGAGAATTTTTTCTAAGCTGACCTTCTGGCAGGGCACAGCTTCCTCAGCTTTGGGAGGGGGCCCTGGGGGCCCAGCCTCATGCCCAGCATGAGCTGCATCTTCTCCAGCCCTGCCAGAGCTCAGCCATCCTGGGTCAGTCCCCTCCCCACCTCCCCCAAGAAACCCCATCAGCTTGGAAGGGTCCCTACAGGCAGACTCACCGTGGGGGCTGGGGGCTGCTCTGCTAGAAGGAGGGGGCCTGGGACCTGGGCCCAGATGCCCAGAGGGAATCTGGGGCTCAGGCTCTGGCTGGGGTGGGGTGGTCTCGTGGTCCGTGAGGTGCTCGGGGCAGCCTTCTCCAGCGAGGCCGGGGCAGCAACGCCAGGCGAGGTCCGTCACTGTCTTGTAGCCAACCTTGTATTTGGGTCTGAGTACTGCACGGTACCTGGACCGGGGATGGGGAGAAGGCAGAGCCCTGTACCTGTGGGCTGAGCCTCTTGCCTCCTGGCAGGTGCCCTTGCCCCCTGGCTGGTATTCAAGGCCACTCTCAGACACTTGCATAAGGTCTAAATGTCTCGTCGCCTCCATAACACCGCCAGCATTTTTCCTTTTTCTGTGCTTAAGGTGATGGGGTGGTGGGGTGGAAGTAGGCCTTGCAGAGGCTCAGAGATGGGTCAGGGGAGGGCGCAGGTAGAGGCCCCAGCCCCTCCTGTTTGCTTGGGGAGAAGGCTAGCAGGGATTTAGCCCCAACACTCCCAAGACCCCTGGACCCCTTCTGGCTCATACTACCATCAGAAATTCCACTCTGGCTTTGGTGGGACCTTGAAGAATTCTGACAAAACCCCAGCCCCTCTCCTATGGGTGGGTGAGGGGTACTGCACCAGAGCTGAGGCAGGCAGCCCTTCTCACTGCCTGGGGGCCACTCTTGGCTCCCAGCAGCTCCCCTTAGTTCTCCCCGCTCCTCCTTAGTCTACTCTGGGAACCCGGCTCTGCTCACGGAGGCTGGCTGTAGGGCACCTCTGATTTTGAGCATAGAGGGGAAAACCCAGGGGGGCAGGGCAGTGCTCACCATGGGCCACTCCCTCACCTGTTCAGCCATGTACCTGTTCACCCAACAACACACTGGAGCAAACAGGTTTGTTTTCAGACATGCGCTTGAACCTCTCCAAGTACAGACCTGTGCATCACACATGTGTGCAATACTACAAGTCCTCACAAAGCCCCACCTGTCTGGCCAAACCCCGACAATCTGGCTTCCATTCCCTCACCCCTGGCCTGCCTTCTCCATGGTCACCACAGCCCTCCCTGGGCCTGCACCCTTTGGCATCAACCATTGCCAGTGCGGCCCTCTGCTCTCCCCATCTCCCCTCCTCCCCTACCCCCTTTTGCCTTTGCTGCTTCTTCCTTGCCTGTGCTGCCTCTCCCTGGGAACCTCCCCTGGTCCCCGCTGTGGGCTCCAACCTGAGCTGCCCTTGACTCTTCCCTGGCCCCCTCCATCTAGCCTGTGTGGGGGCTAGAGTAGCTCTTTGGAGTCCAAGGAGTTCCAGCCCTTGTGGATGGAGTTGGCTGCTCCCAGCTGAAGGCAGGCCTGGGGCTTGTGCCCAGGGATTCCGAGTGGGCGAGATAGGGGTGCACTCACGTGACTGTCCCGGGGCACTTGGGCCCCCATCCACACTGCCGGTACTCAGCCTTTATGTAGCTCTCTGCTCCCTCCTGTAGGACACAGGTCACATTCCTGTGCACCACGTAGGCACAGAGGGCCCTGCAGGGGAGAATGGCATCCTTGAACCACATGGCCAGGGCCAAGCCAACTGAGGCTCTTGCTCCCCCTCCCCCATCTGTGGGCCTCAGCAGACCAGACCCCCATCTCTCTTCTGCCCCTTCTCCTTGTTCCTGGGAACGAGGACCCCTGGCCTGGGCTCCAACCCCACTGCTACTCTCTCCAATCCCAGCTTCCATAGTGGGTTGGTCACTGGGCTACGATTATACTGAACCAGGAGCCTGGAGTGGCTGCCCTTCCCATCGTCTGATCTCTGCTCTCCCTGCCTGGAGAAGAGGCCCACCCTGGGCTGCCCCTCAAGCACCTGCCACATTCCCCAACCTCCTCCAACTCCTTCACTGCCTCTCAACTCCTTATCTTGGTATTGAGGCTTCTGAGATCCCAGGTTAGTCTTTGCGACCACACTTCTCCTTCTTCCCTTGACTGACTCCTGGGGAAATGCATCCACCCTGTAGTTTTCTGGCCCCTGCCTCTGCTTCTGGTTGCTTATTCTCAGATTGCTTCTTGTACTGCCTCCTCCAGGAAGCCTGCTCTGATGTGCCCAGGCCCACTGAGTGTCAGCTATGGGCTGGACACTCTCTTCCTACAGTATTTCTCAAATTCAGTTACAGTACAAATTTGGCAGCACCCCAGGCAGAGCCCCTAACTCACCTGACAGACCAGTTCACAAGCCCCTGCCTGCTAAACACCAGAAGCTGAGGCAGGGGAGGGCCAGCAGCCCCCCTCACAGGCCACAGGGGCCGGGAAGGCGGCTGCCTGGCATAAGCTGACCACCTCTGGACTGCTGTTGGGCCCTGGAGCCACAAGACGGACCCCAGACCCAGGGGCCCACACCAGCTCTGCGGGCCCAGCCACACTGGGGCTCTCAAAGGGTTCCTGGGGCCGGGCTGACTGAGGGAGTGGGCGGGCTTCGGGCGCATGGCTCCATCGCCTACCTGGCGGGGCAGGGGAGGGATGGGAGGCCCCGGCGCGGGAGAGGGATGTGGGCCCGCGTGCTCCGTGCGCGGACCGCCTTCCCTCCTCTCCCTCCACCTGGTCCGCTGCGCCCGGAGTTTGCACACAGCGCAGCTGGAAAATGTTACTTCGCTGGAAAGGTTTCCGCGGGCACTGCCAGGATCCCAGCCGCCGCGCCAGGCCCCCTCGGCTTATTTTCTTCGCCAGTCCCGCAGCCTCCCGGAGCGTGGGGCGCCCGCCTGGCCGGGGGCTCGGCCCGGGCACCGCCCCCTCTGCGCCGCGGCCTTGGGTGCCCGGCGCCTCGCCGCCCCCGCGCGCGGGCCAGGCAGGTGGGAGCCGCGCCGCCCGCGCCCCATCCCTCCCGCTTCCCGCCCGCGGCGCGGCCCGCGCTTACTTGTGCGGCCCTGGGCGCAGCCGCGGGCGCCATCCCGTCGTGTAGAGGCTGTAGCGGGAGGCACCGGGCGGCGCGGGCCGCGCGAGAAGCGGAGTGCCCTTGGCCTGCGCCCCCGAGAGCAGCGCCGCGACGGCGCACAGCCAGACCGGCAGGCGGCGGCGGCCCATCGCGGCCCCGGGTCTCCACCTGGCCCCGCGCGGGAACCCCCGCCGGGTGTCCGCCCGCCGCTCGCCCGCCCGGGTCCCGCCGCCAGTTGCGGCCCCCGGAGCTCGCTGGCCCGGCCGCCTGGCGCTTCGCAGCGGCTGCGTCCCGCGGAGTGGCCGGCGCTGCTCGCGGCTGGGGCCGCGGAGGGGAGGCGGGAGGCGGGCTCTGCGCGGATTAGCATAAACTTGGGGCCGCGTCGCTCTCCTCCGCCAGCCCCCTCTCCGCCGCCAGCCCCCCGCCCCAGCTCTGAGCTGACGCCCGAGGGGCCGCCTGCAAGCAAGAGGTTAAGAAGGGAGCAGCCCCGAAGTGGCAGGGGCGCAGGCCGTCGCGCTGTGGGAGGCCCCAAAACACACCCACCCACCGCCGTCACCCGCATGCACCGGGCGAAAGGCAGAGACAGACCGCTGGAGCAGGCCGGGGCGCGGGGCTCTCCAAGAGCTGCCCACCGCAGGACACACAGTGGTCTTAAAAGCCGGTGTGCGCCCGGGGACCGCGGTCCAGGGCTCTGGAGCTGAGATGACCGTGTTTTGGGGCGCGCCTGCAACACCTCCCCAGCCACCTCCTTGGAATAGGCCCCAGACCGTCCCCTGTTGGCTAGCTCTGCCTCCTTTTCACCGTCATTGTCTGGAGGTGCCCGCCACAGCTGACTCTGCTGATCCCTCCCCGGGCATCTGAACCCCTCCCCGATCTCTAACCCTCCGCAACGCAGTGGCCGGGCCATCCCTCTGGTTCCCCGTTAGGGTCAATGTTATCTCTGTCTCTCTTAGGTATTGGGTGCATCGAGCCCCAAACACGCATCACCTCTCCAGCCCAACCAAGGACGCTCTGCTTCTCTTTGTGCAACTCTCAGCCAGTTAGACCGCACTACTGGCTCATTGTTAGCGTCTGGTCAAAGAAAACCTTTAGGTCTTTCTCCCAAGGAGCTGCTGTTAAGTCAGGCTTCCTCCACATTTCCCTCATGAAGCTGACTCCTGGAACGCAAGAGCTGGCCTGTACAGTCATCTTCAATTAACACCTTGTGGACTTGCTAACCTGCAAAGAGCCTTTTGAATCCTGATTCTGTCATCCAACAGAGTGGCACTTCTTCCTGGCTTCCTCTCATCCACACAGGTAACCAGAGTCTTCTGTGTCTTTACCCAAGTAGATATAGGTGTGTGGAAGGCACGGCACACTGAGGCACACCTGGAGGGACCTCCCTCCACGCTGACTTTGAGGTGTGAATCCACACCCTTTGGGTAAAGTGATGACACCAAGAGTGCTGGAATGAGGTGGCTCTGAAACCTACGTCTGTACCCCTGCCCTCTCCCAGCCACAGGTGCTTGTGGGTCCCATGAGGCAGATGCGTGACCTCAGCAAGCCAACTCTTCTTTCTTGGGGGCTTTGGAATTCATATGGAGGCTGAGGGGATCCGGCTTCCAAGTGGGGGCTGTGTTTGTTTCCTAAGGCTGCTGTAACAAATTGTACCACAAACGTGGTGGCTTAAAATAACACAAATCTCTTCTCCCACAATCCCGGAAACTAGAAATCTGAAGTCAGGGTGGCAGCAGGGCCATACTCCTTCCAGAGACTGTAGGAAAGAATCCTTCCTTGCCTCTTCTAGCTTCTGGGGGGCTCTTGGCAATCCTTGGCCCTCTGTGACTTGTAGCTGCATCGTTCCAATGTCTGATTCTGTCTTGATGTGGCCTTCTCTCTTGTGTCTACATAGCCTTTTTCACATGGCCTTTCTCTCTGTGTGTGTCTCCGTGTCCTTTCCTCTTCTTATAAGGACACCAGTCAATGAATTTAGGGCCCAGTCTAAGCCACCACTGGGGGTCTAGTTGTTAAGATTCGGCACTCCCACTACCATGGCCTGGGTTCGTTTCCAGTCAGGGAACCACACTACCCATCTATTGGCTATAATACTGTGGTGGCTGCGTGTTGCTGTGATGCTGAAAGCTATGCCACCACTATTTCAAATACTAGCAAGGTCACCCATGGTGGACAGGCTTCAGCAGGGGTTCTAGAGTAAGACAGACTAGGAAGAAAGAACTGACCACCCAATTATGAAAAAATTGGCCACGAAAACCCTATGAATAGCAGCAGAGCATTGTCTGATACAGCGCAAGAAGGTGAGAGGATGGAGCAAAAAGACCGGGAAGTGTTCCACTCTGCTGGACACAGGGTCACTAGGAGTTGGAACCAACTCGATGGCACTGTTGTAATTCTAATTCAGTTTGACTTCATCTGAAGTAATTTTATCTGCCAAGACCCTATTTCCAAATGAGGCCACAGTCTAAGGTTCTAGGTGGACAGGAATTTTAGGGGGATGCTATTCAACCCACTACAGGGTCTCTGAGGGGTGGTGAGAGGACAGACTATGGCATGCTGTAGCCATAGCTCTACAGGAGTTAAAGGGAAACTGAGGAAGAGAATTCGCCAGAGAAGAGTGAGGTGGAGTTGAGGGGCCGTGGTACTCAGGGGGAAGTGTGCTGAGTCATTTGGTAACTGACTTCCCCTGTCTGCTTCCAATAACCCACTTCACTTAAGCTAGCTCGACCAGGTTTCTGATCCCAGCAAGCAAAAGATGCCCATCTAAGACAGCCTTTCATCCTTTGCCATAAACCCACCAAATGTGCTATTATAATCTCCAGCCTTTAACGGAGATGTCATGAGCCATTTTGCTTGGGGCAAGATACACAGTATCCATAACATGCTCTTGATCTTGTAACCACTGAATTTCCGCTTCTCGGGAAGCGAGAGACGTCTGAGGGGGAGACGAGGAGAGGCCCCTCCTCACCCTCTGCTGGGTTCTGACTGCCCCGCAGCTCTGCCCAGCCAGCTCTGGGAGGAGACCCCCTCCCCTCCCCAGAAGCTGTGATCCTTTTCCAAGGGGTCCCACCCCTTCCTCACTCCCTTCCCCAGCCCAGATGTGGGGCCCATGACTCCCAGGGAGGAGGCTGGACCCTGTCCGAACTTGGAGAAATTCACATAACAGAGAGCTGAAAGGACAGTGGGACCCTGCTTCCCCCTTTCCCAGGTGTCTGACATCAAACACTACGCTTCCTCTTTAATTGGAACAGTTTGGGGAGCCAGCACTGGGCCCCAACCTAGTAGGGATAGAGGACGTCCGTGGGGGAGATGCTCAAGGTCTTGGCTGGATCCTGCCAGATGCTGGGGTCTCCTCCATAGGTGGTGAGGCCACTTTGCATCTGCCAGACAGGAAACCTAGGGAGGCCAGAGGCAGGGGAGGGAGGCAGTCATGTCCTCCCCCCACTGAGACTGAAGTTTCCACACCTGGATGGAGGCGGGCTGAGGGGGGTCACTCACAGGATCACGCTTTCTGTTCACAGGGACATGCCTGGCCATATCTGGACACACTCAGTCTACCTCCCATACCACTTCCACACACAGTGATGGCACTTAAGTGGGAACCTCTGCCAGACACTGGAGTTTCCCTCCTTCCAGGGGCTTCCTGAAACAGAAGGAAAGAACTGGCTCTTGGGGGCAGAGAAGATGAGAGAATAGATCCCAGGAAGCTGCAGAGAGGCGGGCTTGGTGGTCGTGAGTTACCACGTGGCTCTGGTGCTTGGCAGCCCACTCGCCTGGGATATCACTGCCCTGCCTCTGTGCACTTCTCAGAATCCAAGGAAGCTCCTCTCCCCTCTCCAGCCTCACCCAGGATGTTCTCTCCTTTTTCATCAAGACCCACCACATAAGATCATTGAGCGCCTCACAAAGTTTTGTGGAATGTAGTTCCCTTAAAAGAGACAGAAACAGAAAGCACTGAAACTGCCAGCTTTCTGACACAAGCCCTTCCCCTGCAGAGGAGGCCCCTGCCACTCGGAGAAGCACACCCCTAGAGCCAAGTGGTAGAGGGACCGGCCCTAGGATGTAGGCTCCTGACTCCACCAGCCCGCTGTCTCTGCCCACCACCCCCACCATATCTCCTTTCTTCTGAGCATGCACAGATCAGCCTCCCTACACATGGCGCCACCTCAGGAAGTTCTGTATAGCAAGGCTCTGTGCCCTGGCTCCCTCTCTCCTCAACATAAACATCAGCGTGCTCAAAGCCCAGTTGACATTTTGATTATATCCACACCATCGTAAAGGGTTACTGTCAAATCCACACACATTTCTGCGGCAGGGGTTTGGAGCAACCCCTTCCAACTTGGCAGAAGCACGGGCGTCTCCAGGACTCTGGGAGGGGCAGATGTGCAACCCCAAGGTGAGGGCCTCAAAGGAGTCCAGAAATCATGGAAACTGGACTCTGTGAAGCCCAGATGGACTTCCATTGAGTGAGAGTTGCTTAGAAGCAACTTAAAAATTGTGCAGCGCTGATGGGCTCTCAACATGGACATATGCAAACCAGATGCAATCATTATGCAAATCACATGCAAAATACATGCGCAGGCCTCCCAACTATTGCAAATACCAGATGAGGCCCTTGGGGACCCTGAGTTTAGCTGAGCCTTGTTGTGGGGCAGAGAGATGACCCTGGACTTGCCAGTCTCTTATAGTGGGCAGGAAGGACCTGCCTCTGAGGCCATTCACAGGTTGGGGAACGGAACCAGATGGGGAGTCACTCAGACCTGGGTTTGAATCCCAGCTCTTCTACTCACAAGCTGCATGATCTTCATGGAGACACTTCACCCCTCTGAGCCTCTGTCTTCCACTCTGTAAAATGGTTACTATGAGGACTAAATGAGAACATTGGCTAAAGCTCCCATCCACTCAGTTGGGCACATAAGAGATGCTTGGTGAAGAGGGTAGGACTCAAGAGTCCTTCCCCAGGGGATGGATGTCTGGGCTTCTTTCTGCTCACTGAAGTGGCGACTTAACCCTCAGGCCATGGGCAGGACTTTCTCCAAGGGCAGCAGCCCAGCTGTGGGCTTGGGGAAGGTCAGTGTGGGATGGACCAAGAACCCACATACTCCTCACTCGTTCAGAACACTGTAGAGGTCCCCCTCTGGTACCCCACCAGACCCCCTTGCCAGGCCAGCGCACTCATCATTCCTCCATTGCAGGAGCAATGACTGCTAATGCCCACAGGTGCCCCTTCTGCGAATTGCCCTCAGCTGATGAGAGCCACCTCCCCTGGGAAGTTACAACCCTCCTACCCTACAGCCACTGACTGGATGATACAGGGATATGAAAGGCTGGCCCCCTCGCCTCAAGGGGACAGCTCAGCAGTACGGTTTATGTTCCAGGCCTCCCTGGGTCAGGCCACATCTCGACTGTATCTGAGACCCCACTCTTGCTCTGCCTCTTCCTTCGCCTGCTTCCCTCTCTCCCTCACTATTGTGTTTCTCCTGAGAGTCCTCCCTTAATAAATCACATGTTCCTGAATCCCTGTCTTTGGCTCAAGACAGGGAGACAGACCTCCAAGCAGAGAGGGACAATGCATATGATACTCATTACGGTCAAGGACCATAGGGAGCCATGGGGTCACAGAGGAAGAAGTACCTGGGGTGGGAGAAAGGGTCAGAGATGTCTCCCCAAACAGGCTGCGCTGGAGTTCACCCTTGGGGAGGAAACATCCCAGGCGGTGGGCGCAGCACGTGCAAGGCATGGAGGCAGGCGACAGCCCAGTGTGTTTGGGGAACCCTGCAGAGCTGGGGGCAGTCGGGGAGGGGAGCAGGCCCCAAGAGAGCTTGGCAGAGGCCAGACAAGAGGGGCCTTGAATACTCTAGTGAAGTCTGGACTTTATAGCAGAGGAATGATGCATACAGAGCTGCCTTGAAAAATGTCCCCTGGCTGCCACCGCGTGGAGCACGCACAGGAGGCGGGGTGCCAGGGAGGCAGCCACTGCCACGGTCACCCACCAGATTGACAGGGATCGGGAAGTGGGGTGGGGAGGGGAACACGGGCTGGATCCCAGTGGCTTTCAGGACAGAGAACTGACAGGCCTTGGTGGCTGACTTGGGGCCTATGGGTGTGAGAAGGATTCTGGAAAGTGCCAGGCAGAGACGAGACATAACATCAGGACTGGAGCAGGGGTAACGATGTGTGGTCAAGTGAGGGGAGAGAGGAGAGGGTTTAATGAGCTGCACAGGGCAGGAGTTTGCATTCCCTGTGCCAGCCACAGGACAGCCACAGCCAGGCTGAGCCTTGAGAAGGAGACCTCCATGAAGGTGGGCACTGACAAGAGTGGGTGGCACAGCTGGCCGGATTCCGGTGGCTGGGAGCCGCTCCCTTCAGGAGGGCGGGGTGCAGGGCCCTGGGAAAGGCTCACGCCTGCCCTCCTCTAACTCTTCTATTCATGGGCACCAGAGTAAAAACCACACAGGATTATCGCTGGTGACAGACAAGGCAGGCATGCGATGGGCGGACACAGAGAGGCCAAGCCAGGCCGGGGAGGGGGCTACCCTCCACTGGGGTGCGGCAGGCTGGGGGGAGGTCGTTGCCATGGAAAACTCATGCTTGGATAGGCAGAACCTGACCTCCACCCAAACACTGCCCTTATCTCTGACCTGATCTGCCTTAATTCCTTAATTCTCCGGGACATTTGCTGGGCACCCGCTTGGTCCTGGAAGCACAGGCAGGTGGGCCCCAGGCTCTGTGCTCAAGGCACTTGAGATGGCTCAGAGAGGGCTGAGAGTTAGGAGATGTCCCAGGAGGGGTCAGGAAAGGGGCCTGGGGAGGGGAGAGAGGCAAGAGACTCCCTGTAGGGGCGGGGGGGGGGGGGGGAGGGCGTTCCAGTGAGAGTGAAGAGGCTCAGGAGGGGGTGTTGCTGCAGCGGGAGGGGGAGGGCCACGTACAGGCGGATGCGGGAGGCAGTGCACCAGGATGCTTGGTCTTCAGCCCCCATGAATCTGCTCACTAGCCACTTCCTACACGCCAGTGTCATTGTCTTTCTGCATCAAGCTCCTCT